GAGAGAGGAAGAGAGAGGAGAGGAGAGGAGAGAGATGGGGGGGAAAGGGTTAGAGGGTCACTTCACAGGAAGGTGTGAAATCCTGTATATGTGTGCATGTGTGTCTGTACTCACCTAGTTGAGGTTGTGGGGGTCGAGTCCGAGCTCTGAGCTCCTGTGTGTGTGTGTGTGTGCATGTGTGTGTGTGTGCGTGTGTGTGTGTGTGTGTGTGTGTGTGTGTGTGTGTGTGTGTGTGTGTGTGTGTGTGTGTGTGTGTGTGTGTGTGTATGTCTGTGTGTGTCTGTGTGTGTGTGTGTGTGTGTGTGTGCTACAGCTATTCAAGTACCTAACAGCAGAGCTGTTCTCATCAAGTGTGTGTGCATATGTTTATGTAAACAGTCCTTATTTCCCACGTATGTACTACATATGTATTGCATATGTACCCGATCTCTTGGTTCCCACTGTAGTCTTATGTGTTTAAAATTACGTTAAAAAATAAATACACTAGGCTTCGCCTATATGCCGCTACCTCTAAATTCTATTAAATGCCAGTAAATGCTGCTTATTCTAATTCTGATAGCTCGAGGAGACTGACCCCCAATTCCAGCTAGAGACAGGTACTATTGACCCCATGCAACTCAAACTAGGTGAATATTACTTGCGGCTGGCAGTGGAGTAACGTTGAGGGTCTGTCCTGTCCCAGAAGTTGATGTTTGATGCTTCTCGGTAATTTTTCCACTAACTTACTGTATGCACTATAGTCTCTAGCTCTTCTAATTTTTTCACTCACTCACTGTATTTACAGACACATCTATACATATCTCTTATCGCCCTGGTCTTGAGTCGCACTTATTCTTCAAAATACCCCACTGCGTTATTATGGCAACACTATTTAGGCCTGACACTACCGTTCACCCTTCCAACGGCCCCTACTAAACACTCAGCCAATATTTCCTTTGTTTTCTTTTCTGTGATCACTTATATTTCCTTTTCTCGGGGCTTAAGTGATTATATGCACTCTTATGCGTGAACACACCTATATCCCACATTCTATTCCTTATGGCACAGTCAGTGTGTGTGTGTGTGTGTGTGTGTGTGTGTGTGTGTGTGTGTGTGTCGCCCAGCTGGATGTATAGGATCACTGCCCCCCTACTTTTGAGTGCCAGGTAGAATAAGTAAGGGTAGCCCTGGCAGAATATTTAGTAAGTCTATAGCCTAACTAAATATAACATGGGCAATGCTAAGTGTATTTACGGGTGTTTTTAAAAGATTTCATGTGCATCAATATTCAGTCAGTAATATAATAAAAATTGGTATGTAATTAATTAGGAATAGAGTGAGATATAATTTTAAAACCTTCATAAGAGTTGCGTAGCCTAGCGTAATATAAACACTGACTAATTTACGACTACCGGGGCATTGCTGAATGTACTGCGGCTGTTTTTTTTTTAAATATCTCATAGGCTTAAGTATTATAATAGTATTTTTTTTTTTCAATGAACTGGCCGTATTTCACTGAGGAAGGGTGAACTACAAAGAAAAACTAAAGTTTCTCTTTCTAAATTTAGTAATATATACTGGAGAAGGGGTTACTAGCCCCTTACCCCTGGATGTTAGTCGCCTCCTACCACACGCATGGCTTATGGAGGAAAAATTCTGTTTCACTTCCCAGTGGAGATAAGAGGAAATAAACAAGGACAAGAACACGCATTAAAATAGAAGAAAACCCAGTGGGGTGTGTGCGTTTGTGTATATATATATATATATATATATATATATATATATATATATATATATATATATATATATATATATATATATATATATATAGGTTTGCTAAAGCAAACCCTCAATTCTTTTGTTTGGAGAACACGAAATTCTCTCATCAGTGGGTGTTCAGCAAGGTGACCCACTTGCTCCATTTCTCTTCTGCTTGGCAGTAAGAGAGCTAACTTTCAGCCTATGCAGCGAGCTAAACATCTAGTACCTGACGAGTCCCTGTTAGAGGACCTACAACTGGTGAAAACACAGGGAGAAGACTTGGGACTCATCCTCAATCCCTCAAAATGTGAAATCATCACAGCAAACCAGAAAATAATCAATGCCGTGCGAAGAATCCTACCGGAAGTCTCTACTACCACTCCATCCAACAGTACCCTCTTGAGAACACCGCTGAGTCACCAGGTCATCGACACTGTCCTCAAGGAAAAATTGAATGACCTGATGTAAATGGAGGAGAGAATAAGCGATCTTGATGCCCATGATGTTCTGTATCTCCTCACAAGGTGTCTTACTGTGCGAAGACTCACTTACGTCCTGAAGTGTGCACCCTCTTTTGACAACCCAACACTCGACGAATATGACACACACCTGAGATCAACCTTTAAGAAGGCCCTGAACCTGTCACTAGAGGAGAAAAACAGTAGACAAGGACCAGGTAATCAGGCTAAGGTAAGAGGAGGTGAGCTCACAAAGAGTGACCAGGAAGTATGTGATGAATTTAACACAAGATTTAGGGAATTATTCACAACAGAGACAGGAATGCTTCCAGCAAACCGTTGGGGTAGGGTGCACCAGCAGGTACTGGACACAATACACATAACCAAGGTAGATGTGAAAAAACTACTAGGTGAACTATATACCTCAAAGGTGGTGGGCCCGGATAACATATCTTCATGGATACTGAGAGAGGGAGCAGAGGAACTGTGTGTGCTGCTAGCAGCAATCTTCAGTAAATCAATCGAAACTGGGCAATTGCCTGAGGCGTGGGAGACAGCAAATGTAGTTCCAATTTTTTTAAGAAAGGAGACAGATAGGCAGCGTTAAACTACAGACCAGTGTCACTGACTTGCACAGTATGTAAAGTCATGGAAAAGATTATCAGGAGAAGAGTGATGAATCACATTGAAAAGATTGGGTTTACAGATGACAATCAGCACGGTTTCAGAGATGGGAAATCCTGTGTCACAAATCTACTTGAGTTCTACGATAAGGTGACAGAAGTAAGACAAGAGAGAGAGGGGTGGGTAGATTGCACCGTTTTGGACTGCAAGAAGAATTTTGAGACAGTACCACACAAGAGACTGGTGCAAAAAATTAGAGAAGCAGGCAGGAATAATAGGGAAAGTATTGCAATGGATCAAGAAATACCTGACAGGAAGGAAACAACGAGTGTTGGTACATGCTGAAGTGTCAGAGTGGGTGCATGTTTCGAGTAGGGCTCCACAAGGGTCAGTCCTAGGTACTGTGCTGTTTCTTGTATACATGAATGACATGGTGGAAGGAATATGTTCAGAAGTGTCACTGTTCGCTGATGATGTGAAACTGATGGGGAGAATACATGCGGGCGAGGATCAGTTAACATTACAAGGGGATCTAGAGAGACTACAAGTCTGGTCCGACAAATGGCTCCTGGAGTTTAACCCCAGCAAGTGTAAGCTCATGAAGATTGGGGAAGGATAGGAAGACCGCAGACGGCGTACAGGTTAGGATATCAAAGGCTACAAACGTCACTTAAAGAAAAGAATTTTGAGGTAAGCATTATAACGAACATGTCCCCTGAGGCACACATCAGTCAGATAACTGCTGCAGCATATGGGCGACTGGCAAACCTGAAATTAGCGTATAGACATTTGAGTAAGGAGTCATTCACGACATTGTACACCATGTACATAAGGCCTATACTGGAGTATGCAGCACCAGTATGGAACCCTCATAGTCAAACACGTCACAAAATTGGAGAAAGTGCAAAAATTTGCAACGCGATTAGTCCTCGAACTGAGGGGTATGTTTTAGAAGGAGAGGTTAAGGGAACTCAACCTGATGACGCTAGAGAATAGGAAGGATAGGGAGGACATGATAACATCGTATAAAATACCGAGAGGAACTGACAAGGTGGACAAGGCTCGATGAAATACAGAAACAAGGGGACACAGTTGGAAGATGTAAACCCAGATGAGTCATAGGGATGCTAGGAAGTATTTCTTTAGAGTTGTGAGGAATTGGAATAATCTGGAGAGTGAAGTAGTGGAAGCAAGTTCCATAAATAGCTTTAAGAAGAGGTATGACTATGATCATGGAGCAGGGAGAGAGTGAATTTGTATCGACCAGTGAAGAGGCGGGGTATCGGTTCTACACACCCACAGATGGCGGGTTTTGCTTAAATTTAAGGTTCACGTCGATTCCATGTTGTGAAATTTTATTAAATTAATTGTGTTTTGTGCTTTAGGATGAGAACAACTTTTCTAAATTGCTGCAAACTGGTGTTCCTTAAGCAGAATAATTTTTAGGTAGATTTTGGGCTGAGTAGGATCCAATTTCCCAGTTTAATTGGATAACTTGTGCAAACTGATAAATGGTTTCTATGCTATAATTTATGAGTTTCATCCCATCGGTTTGAAACCTTAATCACAGATCTATCCTACATAAAGAATGTTTATTATTATTATTATTATGACTTGGCGGTGCAGGTACCAACTTGTAAAGTGCTGTTTCACCCCTTTCCTGTCTTCTTCCTCACAGGAGACTTGCTTATTGTCCTCTATGATCTCGTACTGACTTAAATACTTCTAGTTAAACAAATCATCGTTCTCGGTCATTAGTGAACCTGCATATATGAGACACTCCAATTACGTCAGCCTCCTTTTGATTTACCCTTCAGTCATGGAGCTGACATTAGCAGATTTAAGAACATCTTCCTAAATGATATTTTTGTGTGTGTGATTGTTCATATACAAAATGTTAGAAATTCCTGGTGATGATAACAGGAAATTTGTGGAAGGAGCAATTGGGACTCAACCATAGTCTTTTCAACTGCATGTGAAGAGAGTACAAAAAAATTTGTAATGTTTGTCCCAACTCTTAGTTTCATAATATTTTGAGATTCTTATTTCTGGGGAAAAAATGTTTCCACGGAGAGTTATTATGTGAATTATTTGTCTTCATCCTAATGTTGATGTTATATTACACTGTTTACCAATTTTACTTTTTTCATCACTGAACATATGCAGGATTTCACTAACCTTGAGGGTGTAGGGAAGGTTTGGCTTCATGTACTCGTCTTCGTAGATAGTTTTGAAAGAGACAGCATTGCGAGTGATGGAAACTGAAGCCTCACGTTTCATCTCTACATCAGTTCCCTCCTCTGTGACGATGACGGAAGCCTGGAGACTATACACGTTACAGCCGATCACCTTCATCTCCTGGGCAGTTAATTTCACTTCTCGACACCCAGAGAACTGTGGGGAGATACATACCTGAAACCACAATCCCTTACAGCTGCACACAAAGACACAATCTCTCACAGCTACATTCAGATTTCTGGGGGTAGATATTGTATAGCACAAGATCAAAAGAGAAAGGAAAAATGGCAGACGTAATATATACAGTATCATATATAACAAAGACCTGGTGAAGAACCACAGTGGCAGACTACGACTTTAATTTAAATTTAATTACGATTATCATGTAATTAACGCACAAAGGCGAAGTTGCGTTTAATACATTACTCATGGTTAAACTCTCGTCAGTATACTTCTATTATATATTAACATGCTACGTCAGTTGTGAATGGTTATATAACGCGTTTAGCTGTTACTGTACCATACACTGACAGGTACACGAGATTACGTGATAACGGAGGTGGTGGGGTTAAAGGATATTAAAAGTAGAAATTTGGATCATAGAAATATTATCGTAATAGTAAAAAAGATTCCCAAATAAGGAATATTAATAGATACTGAGAAGACTGGTAGACACTTCTAAGTACCCCTGGGAACATTCTAGTACCCCAGACTAGGACATTTAAACGGACAAAAGATCACATTCATTTCCTTTCTTTTATTAATTAAAAAGGTTACAAAGAATAATAGCAATCCCTTTGTAGAGTATTCAATGAGAAACGTAATTTCTCATGTCACATGAACTGTTCTCAGCAGATACAAAAAGCTTTGGGTTGACTATTATATCCTATAACTTCCTACCCTATATTGGGGGATGGGGATGGTGGTTGTGCGGCAACAAGCCGTTGGTTCACATTCCGAGAGAGGCTGAGGCAGGTAACAAACCCCCACTATGCTACTCTGAGAAATCTTCCCCCTCACTTCTTCAGATACTGCCTTGCAACTTTGCACAGCTCCTGATGACGCACTGAGAAGTGTGAAGGTGCTTGAGCTAAAGATTTCCACCTCCTGTGCTTGTTTTCCATAGTTAAGATCACAATAACAACACTGTGACTAGTCAAGGAATCGAACCCATTTTATGTGTGGGTGGGGTTGGGTGGTGAGGGATGCCCTTCCTGGCTACCCATACTTTCCAACCTGACTTCATACAAATAAAAGCTGGGTGGCCCCCCGCCCCCCCTAAAAAAATAAATCACCATCATTCCATCCATCACTGTTTTGTCAGAATAGTGCTTACATTACAGTTATAAAACTGCAACATTAACACACCTTCAGAGTGCAGGCACTGTACTTCCCATCTCCAGGACTCAAGGCCGGCCTGCTGGTTTCCCTGAATCCTTTCATAAATATTTCTTTGTTCTCACTCCAACAGTACATCAAGTCCTAAAACCCATTTGCCTCCATTCGCTCCAATCTAATATGCTCATGCATGCTTGCTGGAAGTCCAAGCCCCCCTCACACAAAACCTCTTTTACCCCTTCCTTCCAACCTTTCATAGGCTGACCCACACATTGCCTTCCCTCCAATACAGATTTATACATTTTCGAAGACATTCTATTTTGATCCATCCTCTCCACATGTCTGAACCACCTCAACAACCCATCCTCAGCCCTCTGCATAACGGTTTGGGTAATCCCGCACCTCCTGCTAATTTCCAAACTACGAATTCTCTGCATTATATTCAAACCACACAAAATTGACATCTCCACTGCCTCCAGCCTTCTCCTTGTTGCAACATTCACCACCCATGCTTCACACCCATATAAGAGTGTTGGTATAACTATACTCTCATACATTCCCCTCTTTGTTTCCATGGACAGAGTTCTTTGTCTCCACAGACTCCCAAGTGCACCAGTAACCTATTTTCCCCTCATCAATTTTGTGATTCACCTCATCTTAAAACCTCTCAAATAGGAGCCGAAATTGTTGGATGTGCATTCCTGCATAACTTGAGCATTAAACAGATGTACAGGACATCTCCAGGAACCTCAGATAAGCTATCTAAATTATGTTTGTAATTCTGGCCAGTATTATCATTATAAATTTAGTTAGAGGGGGGTTCTGTACATGACACACAGTAATCTCCAGACTAATTGGTGAGTGTTATGATTATAAATTTTCCTTCTTTTATATAAATGTGTATATGTAATCATTTATTAATTTTAATATACAGTCCACAAATTTATATTAAATTTTACCAGAATTCCTGGTGATGTACATTTCATTTGCAATTGAAATAGGTCTAGAGCAATTTGTGGAGAGTTAGATGGTAGGTATCGAAGGGGGACATTTTTTGCGACCTAGGTGTCCTAAAAATTCCTACTTGTCTCTGTAACTTTGATAAATAACAATTATCTTTGTTACCATATACTTGTATGTATCTAATGAGATTCATCCAGGTAAATGTAATTTTCCACATGTACATTTATAAGTATCAATGGAAGTGATAAGAGGAAATGAATTAGAACTAGTAAATAGTATAATAATTAGAAAAAACAGAGCCAAATGCAAATAAATTGATGTTGTAGTAGAAAACATACTCGTAGACTCAGTACAAGTAATTAAAAGAGATTAATTTTAAGTAAGAGTAATGAAAGATGAAGTAGAAGTGAAAGAAAACAGAAGAGGAAGAAGAAGAATTACAAGATATATCAATAGTAGAAACAACAATAAGTTTACCAGAAGCAGCAGTACTAGTAATAGTATTACCAGAAGCAGCAGTACTAGTAATAGTATTACCAGAAGCAGCAGTACTAGTAATAGTATTACCAGAAGCAGCAGTACTAGTAATAGTATTACCAGAAGCAGCAGTACTAGTAATAGTATTACCAGAAGCAGCAGCACTAGTAATAGTATTACCAGAAGCAGCAGTACTAGTAATAGTATTACCAGAAGCAGCAGTACTAGTAATAGTATTACCAGAAGCAGCAGTACTAGTAATAGTATTACCAGAAGCAGCAGTACTAGTAATAGTATTACCAGAAGCAGCAGTACTAGTAATAGTATTACCAGAAGCAGCAGCACTAGTAATAGTATTACCAGAAGCAGCAGTACTAGTAATAGTATTACCAGAAGCAGCAGTACTAGTAATAGTATTACCAGAAGCAGCAGTACTAGTAATAGTATTACCAGAAGCAGCAGTACTAGTAATAGTATTACCAGAAGCAGCAGCACTAGTAATAGTATTACCAGAAGCAGCAGCACTAGTAACAGTATTACCAGAAGCAGCAGTACTAGTAATAGTATTACCAGAAGCAGCAGTACTAGTAATAGTATTACCAGAAGCAGCAGTACTAGTAATATTATTACCAGAAGCAGCAGTACTAGTAATAGTATTACCAGAAGCAGCAGTACTAGTAATAGTATTACCAGAAGCAGCAGTACTAGTAATAGTATTAACCTAAGCAGCAGCACTAGTAATAGTATTACCAGAAGCAGCAGTACTAGTAATAGTATTACCAGAAGCAGCAGTGCTAGTAATAGTATTACCAGAAGCAGCAGCACTAGTAATATAATTACCAGAAGTAGCAGTACTAGTAATAGTATTACCAGAAGCAGCAGTACTAGTAATACTATTACCAGAAGCAGCAGTACTAGTAATAGTATTACCAGAAGCAGCAGTACTAGTAATATTATTACCAGAAGCAGCAGTACTAGTAATATTATTACCAGAAGCAGCAGCACTAGTAATAGTATTACCAGAAGCAGCAGTACTAGTAATAGTATTACCAGAAGCAGCAGTAATAGAAATAGTATTACCAGAAGCAGCAGTACTAGTAATAGTATTACCAGAAGCAGCAGTACTAGTAATATTATTACCACAAGCAACAGCACTAGTAATAGTATTACCAGAAGCAGCAGTACTAGTAATAGTATTACCAGAAACAGCAGTACTAGTAATATTATTACCAGAAGCAACAGCACTAGTAATAGTATTACCAGAAACAGCACTACTAGTAATAGTATTACCAGAAGCAGCAGTACTAGTAATAGTATTAACAGAAGCAGCAGCACTAGTAATAGTATTACCAGAAGCAGCAGTACTAGTAATAGTATTACCAGAAGCAGAAGCACTAGTAATAGTATTAACAGAAGCAACAGCACTAGTAATAGTATTACCAGAAGCAGCAGCACTAGTAATAGTATTACCAGAAGCAGCAGTACTAGTAATAGTATTACCAGAAGCAGCAGCACTAGTAATATTATTACCAGAAGCAGCAGCACTAGTAATAGTATTACCAGAAGCAGCAGCACTAGTAATAGTATTACCAGAAGCAGCAGTACTAGTAATAGTATTACCAGAAGCAGCAGCACTAGTAACATTATTACCAGAAGCAGCAGTACTAGTAATAGTATTACCAGAAGCAGCAGTACTAGTAATAGTATTACCAGAAGCAGCAGTACTAGTAATAGTATTACCAGAAGCAGCAGCACTAGTAACAGTATTACCAGAAGCAGCAGTACTAGTAATAGTATCACCAGAAGCAGCAGTACTAGTAATAGCATTACCAGAAGCAGCAGCACTAGTAATATTATTACCAGAAGCAGCAGTACTAGTAATAGTATTACCAGAAGCAGCAGCACTAGTAACAGTATTACCAGAAGCAGCAGTACTAGTAATAGTATTACCAGAAGCAGCAGCACTAGTAATATTATTACCAGAAGCAGCAGTACTAGTAATAGTATTACCAGAAGCAGCAGCACTAGTAATATTATTACCAGAAGCAGCAGTACTAGAAATAGTATTACCAGAAGCAGCAGCACTAGTAATAGTATTACCAGAAGCAGCAGTACTAGTAATAGTATTACCAGAAGCAGCAGTACTAGTAATAGTATTACCAGAAGCAGCAGCACTAGTAACAGTATTACCAGAAGCAGCAGTACTAGTAATAGTATCACCAGAAGCAGCAGTACTAGTAATAGTATTACCAGAAGCAGCAGCACTAGTAACAGTATTACCAGAAGCAGCAGTACTAGTAATAGTATTACCAGAAGCAGCAGTACTAGTAATAGTATTACCAGAAGCAGCAGCACTAGTAATATTATTACCAGAAGCA